TGCTGTAAACAAAAAAGGGAGTTAGGGAATTCAAAAAAGCTCTACAAGCAAAGGAAAAAAAAAAAGAAAAAAGAAAACCAGAAAAAAAGGGAGCCCTGGAGTGTGGTTGTAAGCCTACGCTAGCACCTCAAAAGTGGTCATCAAAACCATTCAACAGCCTGACTCCAGAGACCTGTCTGACTGACCAGACTGCGAAACGCTGCCTGCCTCTGTCCCTGTGAACTGCAGCACTACCAGTTCTCCTAAGGAAACAGTGCTGCTTCTTCGATTTAACCCTACCGTTCGCAAAGATCACGCTAACGTGATCTAGGTGACAGGCCTGCTGTACAAGGAGAAATGTCCAGCCTCTGGCCTAGGGGCTGTGACGGCTCAAAGCTCTTCAAGGGCGGTGGGTACCGTCTACCAAACTCCTTGCACTCGGGTCCCACAAGCACCTTTGAAAGGCATCCGTCAGAAGTGAGAAAACTCACGTTCTGCAGGAGTTCTGGAGTTATAAAGGATTATTGTCATCATCCCCCTCTTGAGCCTCCTGCCAAGTTAACTCAAAAGCCAAAGGCTCTCCTTTCACTGCCTCGAACAGTGAGTGAGAACGGCGGAGAACGCCGATCTCCATCGCACTTCAGCCACAGGGGTGCCCGTGTGCCCCGCCTGGCAGGCTGGCAGAAGTTACTTCATGGGCTCTAAAGATGCCTGGTCACCTCTTATCTTTCGGGACATGCAATCTTCTCCCAAACAGAGAATCTAGAGAAATTTCAAGGCCAATGTAAATCAGAGGAAGTCTAAGCTCACTGAATACTACAACGATAGTTTACTATTTGAACTGCTTCACACGTGCTGCAGCACCACTGCCCCAGAACTAATTTATGTTCATTGTTTTCCTTTTTTTCCTTCCCTTTTTCACCCCCACATCCTGGCTTACCTTGTGAATTTTTGGATATCAACACTGGAATTGGGTCAAACTCATCTTCTGTCACTTTTTCAGAGCCCTCAGGAGCATCAAAGCCTGATATCAGGTTAGTATCTTCTGCAGCATAAAGGAGAGACAGAGGTAAAGAAGCAAAGATAGCAGAGAAGGCTGGTTAGAAACGCTAAAAAGTGTTAGAAGGTCTTTATGTTTTCAGAGACAGGGTTTAGAAGCAGGAGTTTCATTTAAAAGATGAAATTAAGGTGTTAAGTCTTTGGTAAAGGACGTAAGAGAGCCAATTAAATACAAAAGTGGAGGGGAAAACAACAAACCAAAACACAAAGCGAGCCAAGCCATGAGAATCAAAATCAAATTTGGCCAATCTGAAGGCTCCACGATTGGCATCGTTCAAAGCTGTGGTAAAAGCCTGGGGCTTAAGCTCCCAAGGACTGAAAGTATTCTTTGTCATCATCCAGTGGCCATCAGATATCAGTGCAGTTTGAGAGAGCAGCCTGGCTCTCCAGCTACCAGCTGTCACACACAGGGAGAAGAAAAGGGCTGGGGAAAAAACCCCCAGCAACACAGAAGAAATTCCAGTCATCTACACGAGACAAAGCCCCTGCGCGTTCACCTACAGCGATAAAACAAGAAGTGCAGCACGGAGGCAGATTTCCAAGGAATTTAAATGCCATAACTAGATACCGAGAGGTTTGCGTTTTTTTTTAAAGGCCCCTAGAGCAGTTCTGGCACATAATTCCATTGATTTCAAACCACGTCAACTGCAGTTAGACACTTGGTGTGAGGCATTTTCAACAATCTCCACAGGAGAGGAGGCATTTATCTGCCTTATCAGGCAATTACATACCTTTAGGGACTTTCACACTCTTGCTGTGCCTCACTACTTGTTACTTTAGACACCTAAAACACCTTCTAAAATCTGGTCCTCAATTACCACATGAAGCATTTCTGAAAGCCTAGCAAGGACATGTGCAAGTCGATGGTTTCCAAGGAACAGGACCATTCCTGTTTGACACCTATAAAGACTAAAAGCTCTTTACCTAAAGCTGACAAATACGCCAACAGGTTTTGGGTGAGATGATGCAAGAAACCACTTGTGGAAATACACTGTTCTCTGGAGGACCAGACCCAGAAAAAACACCCACAAATTTTGTAGGAAACTAGCCTGTGAAGCGTCAAAAACACAAAGACGTTTCATCTCAATGGAAAGTCGCATCTTGTCACCACTGTCTCTGGAGATATTTATTTGTGGCTCCCCTCACCCTACCCGGAAGCCTTTGCAAGGACTGTTTCCAATCCACTTCCTTTACACATACAACGGCTCACAGCTCTGGAGTTTGCTGTACAACCCTGAAGGAGCACGGCTCCGTTATGGACTAGCTTCCCTAAGGGGAGAGAAAGGCTGGTGAGCGTCCCTATTTGGGCAAAACTCCTTCCAAAGCCATTGAGCTCGCCTCAGTGACTATGTATCACCATAAATAGAAAAATTCTCCCCTCCCATCCGTGCAGCTTGGTGCTGTATTCAGCAAATGCAAATTAAGGAATCCTGACAGCTGAGCAGAAATTCAGACGCCAGAGAACAGCCTAGGAAAGGACAAAGGAAAGGATGCTATGGCGTGCTTGGAGCACCAAGCCATGCTCAGGCCACGGCTGCTTTTTCAAGCCCTCCTGGTCCTCCCGATAACTTGCAGCATTGCACTTCCACAGGCTGATTATACCCATGGACAGCAGCATCTGCCCCACAGGTGCTTTACATCACCAAAGCCAGGATGGGATAAACAAACAAACAAACAAAAACCCCCAAAATTAAGATTGAGACAGTCATACAGTTAATGATCACACCCAGAGCTATCAAAGCAGGCTTTGAAAAGAAGCCACAAATGAGTTTTGGAAGATTTAAATATTTTGCCCCCCACCCTGCTAATGCAAGTCCCGTTTTCCTCGCTAAATGCGAGCCTTTCTCATCCCAGAGGGAACAGCAGGGCAACCTGGGAGAAGTCATGCAGGAGCCTGTTAATTCATTTGCTCATTAAATCATACCAACGTTTTGGCTTTGCTGTGTTCCAGACATGGAGTAATAACTGCTCAACATACATTTCAAGCCATTTACTCAAAATGAAGTGGCATGGAAGTGTATTATAGCAATGAGCAATTAGAACAACAGCTTGTTTAAACCCAAAAGCTCTATGAAAAACACAAACTCATTCTGAAGTGCCATCAAGTGTAAAAATTGGTTACTGACTGGTTTTACAGCGATTCCTCTGAGGACAGATCACTTTCGGTTGCTATAGGGATACTTACCAAATGAGCTCAGCAAAACCCATCGTCAAGGGGGACCCAGTAGTCAGCATTTGTGCTCTGAGCCTCTCTTTTCAAGGCAATAGACAGCACAGAAGTCCTGGTCTTCCCTCCCCCCCCCAGGTAGATGTGTACTGCCCAATATTCACTGCAAGCTCGGCTTACGTGAGTCACCTGCTAACGTCTGGCACTGTCCCCAAAGGACACATGCACTGCTCACAACTGCTGTAGCCCATAACAGGGATGTGCCAGAACAGAGCAGGAATAAAGTTCCCCGTGCAAGTCACACCCCAGCTGACAGCTCTTCAAACTACTCCAGCCACACTGCAGGGAGAGGGCCCAGATTTCAGCTGGGTGCTCTGCAGCTTGGGAGGGGGCAGGGGGGAAAAAGCAGCCGAGTTAGGACCCAGCTTCCCAGGGGCCTCTACTCTCGCTTGTTAGGGGAAAGAGAACAGAACTCTGGTCACTGCACAGTATTTCCACAATTCCACTCAGGCTCAAATACTGCTGTACTGCAAGGGCTGACCTGCAGCTCTTGGGAATTACCACGCACGGTGTGCTGCTCTCCTGCCGCTCTGCTTTCCTGCGTTACTGCGAAACCGTTCCATTTCTGCATGTTGCACTGAAACTTCCCTATTTGCTGTGACGCTGCGGTTTGACTTCTCCTGATAACCTCTGAAAAGGGAAACATTCTCTAGACCTGAAGGAGCTCACTCGTGTGTTTTGGACGCTAACGCCGACAGACAAAAAAGAATTCCTTTCGCTTCAAACACCTTGTGACACCAGCGCAGATGATCATCCGGCTCCCCTCCTGAACCAAGAATGCAGCAGGTCTTAAACCCCATGTGCAAAAAGCAAACCCAGAGTGCATCCCCTTCCAAGCCTGAAGAAGGGTCGCACACAAAAGCCTTCCCTTGAAGCCTACTGCATCCCTCCTGCTGTATCCCTGTTCCGCGGAAGGTGCCATCTGTCTTGACAAACCTTGTCTTTACGGTCAAGCTGAATACTTATATTTTTCCCTTCATACTTCAATGTATATTCCAAGTTTCACCAGCTTGGGAAGAAAATAAAACAATGGCTTGGGGAAAAAACCAACCACCCATCACCAGAACCCTGGTCAGAGCATCTGCTCACGTAAACTTCACGACAGCTAAAGCCCAAGTCCCAGGTCTAGAGGAAAAGGGACCGTTTACCTTTGTGAGGTTGAGCTGCGAAAGCTACGGGAGCAAATTCATCCAAGAGGTCAGCAGCAGGGTTAGAAAGCAGAGAACAGTCAAGCAGAGAGTCTTCCCCAGTGAGAGAGTCTGAATCCAGGTTAGCATCCAAAGGCCGCAAGGGAGCATTAAACAGGACACAAACACTGTTAAGCTCGTATTGTTGCATTCCTGTTCCCGTCCGCTTCGCGTAGAGATTTGATGCAAAGCCAGCACAAAAGCTAACATTTTTTGTGATGGAAAACATTCCTTACTGCTCTGCAGCGAGAGCAGAGGGATTCCCAACACCTCTAGCAACACATAGCACATTCTCTGGGGCGAACTGCCCTCTAAAGCTGAGTGTACAACAACGAAATCCCACACAAGTGACAGGGTACCGCAGGGGGAATGAAGGGGAGAGAGTTGCAGGAACTCTGGCAAAACTAAGTGCACTGGCTATTTCACAAGAGACCTCTGAAAAGATGCAGAGTCCTTTTGCTGCAAAAGTAGCCAGATCAAAGCCTTCAGAGTAAGAAAGGGACATGAATTGCTGACTGCCGTGCCCCAAGGGAATGGACAGGAAAAAAAATAAATCAGTGACTGCTCCAGATTTCGAGAGCACTTCATCAGAGCAATACTCTGGCATCTACGGATCTGTAGTGGTGGGCTCAAGGAACGCTGTACCGTTCTTCCCAAGGAGACAAGTAACACGGACCTTCCAGGAACCATGCAGCACCCACTTACAAGCCACACAAGCAAGCCCAGTTTACACCGGCGGGAAAAGCAGCCGAGAGGCTTACGTTCAAGCAGACAGCGCTTTGTGATTGACACAGCCCACACCGGTGCGATGCACCCCCTGCCCCCCCAGCCCCCTCCTGCCTCACCAACCTGTTCTGTTGGAGGCGACCGACTCTGTCTGTGACACAAGGCGTTGGGGCAACGGAGCCTCGAGGCCCGGTATGAGACTCTCAACAGCTACGTCAGGTTTTCCTTTCCAAATGGGCGAAACACCAGAGCAGAGAAGAAGCCAGAGGTTAGTTTGCACGAGACAGTCTAAGTAGGAACTAAGGGGCAGTTGTCTGAATCCTTTAGTGACCCTTTCGTACGTGCCAGCAACAAGAGGCCGAAGTTAGACCGATGTTAGTTTAATCAGGAGGGAAGGCTGTAACACATCAGCGTCTGTTGGGTTTGAGTTTTTACTGTGGTTTTGTTTTAAATGTATTTATTTTAATTTGTGCAAGCCCAATCTGAAATACCCCGAGGGTGGAACGGGAGGTTAAGGATGCCCGCCCTGCAGCTAAGCAGAAGGCCTGCGGCTGGGCAAATAACTACGAGCTTTTGCAAGAGCCTTTTCCAGCAAAAGGAAAACACTGACCTTTAAGGAGCCCCCCTGCATTGGAAGTAACAGATCATTAATACCTACTGTGAGCCCTTAGCACATTCCCAGGTAAACCTGGAAAAAGCCAAGACACAGGATCTTTTTTTTTTGGACTTTGAGTGCCCAGTGGAACAAAGATCGCAGACCCCCCAGAGAGGTGACCAAGTTTTGGAAGCCAAGGTCTTATTGAAAAGACCAGTTCCCCACATCGTCTAATGTCGATGTCCACTATGGGCACGCAAAAGGAGATGTCTGCAAAGGCTAGACAGAAAGGTTTGGTTTTGTAGAAACCATAAAGGGGAGGGGGAGAGACACGGGAGGTAATTGTCACGGTCACCAGCCAGGTGTAACGCTTGTCTGGGTCTCTTCCTCAAGGACCAGCATCAAGGTAATGACCAAGAAGTTAAATTAAAGAACAAGGACACACTCAAATGCTGGGACCAGAAACAGTCTAATTGGTGAACCTAAGAGAGATTAATGAATATTTTTGCCTGCATAGCAGCGTGTGTATCTGTGATTTGCAGGATCATTATCTAAGAGAATTCAGGCAACTGCCAAAAATTGCAAAAGGGAGGAAAAGACAAAAATCTCACTACTAAGGTGACTCATTTCCTACCTTTCTATCCAAAGCTAGAAGGTTGCAACCAGCTAGCCAGGGGACCCTGGCTGGGACCCAAACCCACAAAAGCAGCTGACTGCAGCTAACTGCAGCCTGCAATTATTAGTCTTTAGGACATTCGGCAAGTAGGTCAAAACAGGATTCTGCAACACCCCGTAACCTTTACACCACCCGGAGCCCGTTGCATCTGGGCTCACAGCAGCCTAGCAGGTTTGCTCTCTGCATATGCCCCAGGTCAACGGCAATGCCGTCCTCCTCATCCTGCTGAGGGTCGACGGAGAGACAGACAGGCTCAGCGCCTGGGCTGTGCCCACACACGACGTCTCTAGCAGAAATGGAGGGATTTTTTTTTGCATCTTCTCTTTCAGTCAACGATTAACTTTCTTCAACCAAGAGCAGAAGAACACAGAAGGCACAACGGTGCCATGTCATTGTGCCCAATCAGCAAGCCTACATTTTAAACGCAAACACCAAGCCTTCGCTGCTCGGACGCTAGTCTCGTGGGGAAAAGGCAGATCTGTCTCAGCATAATCCATAACTTCCTACCACATTGCGTTTCACCGACATCAGCAGCTGTTTCGAGAGCCCAGTGGGGGTAAACACGCAGAGTTATCATGCGGGACAAGACATGCCTTGTAAGACAGAGGGGAGGAGGCGCCCTGAGTTTATTTTTACCATTCACAGCGTCTGACGTGCTACCAAAGGGGTCAGCGAGAGGCAGGATATCAGGGAGCAGAAGCGCAGTCTCAGGAGATTTGAGTCCCTCAATCAGTTTTTCTGGGTTAAGCGGGAAAAGGAGGAAGGCAGGCAACAGAGGGGGAAAAAAGCAAAAAAAAGAAAACAGAATTACAAGAAAAGACAACATTAATCAGGTGCTCAGTTCAGCGGCTCATAGTCCAGTGTGTCAGCCCCAGGGGAGCATCTGCACAACCTCGTGGGCAAAGAACACTGTCACTGGGAGATATCAGAAGGCAGCTTTCCACCAGCTGGCTGTGGTCATCTAAGACAGCTGAGGACATCCTCACCCACTGTGTGCTGCTCTCCCCAAGGAGTCACGGTAAACCAGCAAGCAGTTCCTTCCCTCCTATCCAAAGCACAAAAAAAGCTTAACATGACCCACTGAAAATCAAATTAAAAAAAAAAAACAACCAACCCCACCCAAACCCCTGCAGTTTTTCCCCTCCCAACCTTCCTACACTAGGGAGGTCTTTGTTAGTCTTTGCATAATGAGAAGAGAAGAGATGATGAGAAGCTCAAGATGCTAGAGCTAGGTATACATCACCTATTAATTTGCTCAAGAATGGAATACTTAGAGTCCTTAAGAGTTAAGCAAAACCAGAAACCACTGAGACCCTACAGACAGGCTGACATGGTGCCAGACATCAGAACTTGCCCTTGGGTTCAACAGCTGTCTAGTTACCAATTAATTATTTCATCTATCAGGTTTCAAATCAGACATGTCATTCTCCACAGTACAACTCCTGTGGTTCCCATTATCCTTCACACAAAGAAATTTAGATAGCCTAGGCAAAAAGTTAATCTCAATTATTAATCTGGTGGATGAGTGACTTCCCAATCATACTAACCAGGTTTTCAATAATGAGCTTAATTACTTGGCTTTCACAAGGGTTTCTTCACAGAACAAGATGATAAAGAACATTTTTACATCTGTATTTTATGTTTGGAGTTCAAAGGCTGGTGTTATTATTTATTATCCAAAGAAAACGTCCTCATAACTCCACAAAAGCACAGGCTCTGGAATACTACCATATAAAAGACTTACCATGCTGAGAAAGCCAATGAAAAGCTTAACTTGCACTGTTACGTACACGGTAATACTATCAATCTCTTTTATTGGCCTATATAAATAATACAAATAGCCCAGTGGCTTTGGAACTACTTATTCAAAGCAGGACAAATTCTACTCCCCGTGAAAATCTTCACAAGCAAACACACTAAAGCAACCGGGAGGGGAAGGAAACCTAAAAAGTGACCCAAGAGGCAGCTGTTACAGCACTGAAGGCCTGAAGAAGGTCAGCTGAAAGGAAAAACCTGACGGGAACAGCAGCCTTGAATGTACTTGAAACCTTCTCACCTCTGTGAGGAATAGTCAATTTTAAAGGCTGTATTTGCCAAAGAAGATGCAGCCCAACTGCAGAGGCATCAGCCTTGGCTTCTCAGCAGCACAGAGAGGGGCTTTTTCCTTGGGTGAATGGAGAGGCTGGGAGCAGGGGCTTGGCAACAAAAGAAGGTGTCGTGGCTACCAAAAGGGGACTAAGAAGGACGGAGCTGACGACAGTGCTGGGAAAACCTAACGCCACACAGGAGAGAGGCTTGGGGACAAGAGGACAGGGAACACGCTCAGTTCCTTTTTCCAGAAGGGAAGCGGTAAGAGAACAGGTATGCACCCAGAGTACAGCTGACTGGAACAGCGTCTTAAAGCAATTAATGCAGATAGCAAGGCACAGGACCCAACTGTGGGAGAAATTACGGACCGGCTCAGAGCTGGGCAGTTTCAGATCGGGTCTGGCTCCTACTGTGAGATGGAGCTTGTAAGCTATGAAGCGACACGTACGTACGCTGTGAACGTGTTCCCATTTTACAGACTCAGGCCTAAGACACTCCTTTCAAAGCAGACCCTTACAGGAGGCCTGTCTGCCCACACCCAGCTCTTCCCAAGGCACTTGCATCAACCTACATTTTCAAACCCATACATACAGTAATCATTCCTTTGATGACCTCATTTCCAAGTGTCTTGCTCCCCAAAGTTTCCCTCCTTCAACCTTACCTTTCCAAACAGTTTCCTCCTTTTTTTACTACTGCAGACTTTCCATTTCAGACACTGGAGCTGCCTCGTGGCCAGGTACTAGAAAGATGCCTATTGAGCTCACCCACGCTTTCTAAACACACAGAGATTACGAGAACAAACATGGTGGCGTTCTCCCTACGTGTCAGTTTTCTTTCCAGTCCCCTGGGCTCAACTGGTTTTATGCAAAGCTTCAGACTGTCAGTGGTTCTTTGTCTTATTTTGGTAATTGATTCACGAGATCTCCTTTCTCATGTCCTTCCTTGTCGGTGCTGCTCTGCCAACACTGTTACAGGTAGCCACCACATCTCTTAGGGCAGGATTAAAAGAAACTTTATCCTTTTTGAGTGAGGCTGAGAAGATCAACAATAACAAGAAGATGTCAGGATGAACGGGAAAGGAGATACCAAAAGTAACAAAAATCAGATGCCTCGCTATTTTGAGGCCTGGCAGTTCATTTCCCTGGTTTCTGTTTTGTGTTACATCTTGTACTAAACCGCAGGAACAAGAGATGAAGTAAAGGCACAGCAGTCGCTTCAAGTGGTGGGAAATCCACCTTCAACCAGGAACAAAGGAAAAGTTAGCGAAGGCCCAGAGAAATCCGTGGCTCTGCATTAGTTAGCAGGAGTACCTTCTCTACAAGAGTCAGGTTTGTGCTCTTTAGCACGACAGGCTTATTAAAACACCCGTGGGCTCAGGGAAGTTTTCTGAATCCACGTCAGACATTCAAGTCCAAGACACTACGTGCCTTTGCAGTGGCAAATAAGCCCCGCTCTCAAGCCTCTGCTCCACCATAGCTGCAATGATCAAAGCAGTAACTCAAGGAGGGCACCTTCGGCTCTCTAGGCTGTTTCCCTACGCGTGAACATGAGGCAGCTGTAACTATATGCAGACCTAGAAAGAAAAAACCAGGCGCTCTCATGATACTGAAGTGCATTTCGGGTCCTGCTACCAGGGGAACTCTCTAGCAGAAGTTTAATTTCCAAGAGAAAAGCTGCTTTACCTGCAAGCAAAGCCACGGTTGAGATGGTGAGAAGCCAGCAATGCTAAGCAATTTGAATGAGTAAGAAAGCCAGCAATGCAAGAAAAGGGAAAGCTGGGATAACTAGGCTCGGTTTTGTTATCTGTACAAACACACCAGTTCCAAGTCCCACAAGTATGAAGCGACCATCAACTGCAGAACAGACTCCACCAGTAAAGCAAACAGCACGTAACTGCCGTTTGCAGAAAGAGACGAAGGCTACAGCCTCGGGTATGGACTTCTCTAGAACACCCTCTCCCACCTGCCGTCCCCTGAGCAGAGACCTTCCACGGAAGGAAAACCAAGAGAGGTTTCGCCACTACGGTACCAGTTTCTTGTGGCTCTCCGGGCACGTGGTCATTCAACCACAAGCTGCATTTTGGAAGTGCTCACTCTGGCAAAGAAGATCACTTAATGCAGCAGACAGCAGTGGAACAAGAAACAAACAAACAGACAGAAATTTCTCCTATGCTGCAGTTTCAGGGCTCATTGCAAGTAATTTTGTGCATGCTTAGAGCTCAGACTGGAGCGTGACAGGACAAAACACACTCTGTAGCAATCGCTGTGCAGTTAAAGTCAGGATTTTATAGCACCAGAGGTCCTTCTGCCTCAAATTCAATAGACATATCCAGACTATTCATATGCAGACAAATGAACAAGCCCAAGGATAAACAAGGTTAAGAAAATGTAACCCAATACAGCGATATTTTATACCACGCAGCTCCTGAAGGGCTCTCCGGAAGGGCTTTTATCAAATTCCATCTGGCAAACGTTTGCTTCAATCAGTAACTGTGCTCCCACTTCAGGCTGCCTCTTGGAGGCATCCTCTTCCCCAGACAGCCTACCAAAAACGTGCCAGACCTTTCCAGGTGACAGAGAAGGAAGCTTGACTCAGGCTCAGGATTGATCCGACCACTTTTAGTTCATTTTCCATGGGTTTTCTACTTGGCCTGTTTTCAGTCCTGACACCAGGTTTGCTATGGCCTTGCATCAGCTAGTAAGGACGATGGCTGAGTAAGCAAGATTCATTAGCATGTCTTAAGAAGGTGTCTAAGCTTAGAAGCAGGCAGGGGGGATTAAAAAGTGCGCTATCAACCCTTTCCAGAGCTAAAGCCCAGCCACATACTGCAGCCTTTAGATGAACGTTTCACATTCCTCCCAAGCTCACAGTAAGAAGCTGCTGATTGTTTCCTGCTGTAGTCAGAGTAAGCAACACACGTGGCAGAAAAAGCAAAGCAAGAGCCTACAGCTAACAAACAGCTCTCGGAGGCATCCCCAAATGGCAGATGTTGGTAGCTTCAGAGACTGGAAAACCAAATCATTTCCTCCAGGAATTTTCAGAGCCTTTGCACCAACATAAGAAGGAAGTAATGCCACTTAGCATCAGCAGAATTAACTATGGATTTCTATCACGGGACAAGAAAGCAAGTTCAGACCCTGCGTGCGGGTTGAGAAGCACAGCTTTGGACAATCCAGTGAGAAAATGTTGACCTTTTTCTTCAGATCCCTTCTTTTCCAAACACATGCACAAATCTGATGTTCGAGACTTACAATTAGTCAATTTGCACAGACTTTGCATCTGCCACACCACCGCTGCCAAAGGCTGTAAGTTGGCATGCTGCGTCTGTACTTGGCGATACACCCGTTAGGCGACAAAGTGTAAGCAGAAAGCGTTTTAAGAAGGGCTAGAGTTACCAAAAAAACATAAATCAAGAGTCGAGGGAGGCAAACGGGTTTTTAGTTAGGGCAGGCTATTAGAAAAAATAAAGACTCCCGAGAAACTTGCAAGTCAAAAAGGGAACGGATGGCCAAAATCTGTCACACGTTGGTAACACACGGAACAATCAAGATGCAACATCTCAAAGCCAGAGGAGTCCACCAGCCAGGCACCGCACACAGTAAGAACATTACTCACTCGTGTACTGCGGAGGAATAGCAAAAAGAAAGACA